TCATCAACAGATTATGGGTTAGGAGTTTTGGTGGACGATAAAATGACTTTTTTGTGTTTGATTTTAATCCAAATGCATTCTGTGTTGGTTATTTCTAAATCGGATCCTCTAGTTGCATAGTGTACTATCTTTTACATAAGTAAGAATTCCATCATAATGATCAGTTGTCTGCCTTCTCTGTGTGGTGATGAATAGATTACGAAATATAAAGTTGCCGAATTGATGTCTGGACTTAACCATATCTCTGTGAAAGCGAGAGAGCCGATACTGGATAGTTCAGTATGAAGAATGTAATGGACAACTTTCAATTGTCGACTCAGACATGGATAATATATAAACAATATAAATGGACATTAAGTAAATCCTGGCATACATAGATAATTAGGTGAGAAGTCCCTGTAAAGATAATGACAAGTAAGAGAAAGAAAAACGGAAGGGAAATATTTAAAGATAATGATAGAGAAAGTTGTTTAGTAGATATGAGTATAGATTTCTGCCCATATTGATCAAGAAGATTGTAATGTAAGACACACATGTAATAAGTTATATGAACACAAAGGATAACTTTATACCGGTTATGTGTGTATGTGAGTATATTTCGTTGGAAAGTTTCTGCATGGAAAAATACAGTTGTATTATGGAAAATAAGTTTTAAATAACAATTTATAGTGTATTTCGAATAATGTTGACGTATTAAACATGTATTCAATTTGAATTTATTTTACATGTTTAAGTATTGTTTATAAGTATTAACCTGGTATTTTTCAAAAGGGAGATTAATAATGACGACCAATTATTTGTCAAAAAGCAGTTGTTTACCTTGCTACGACCATACTATACCCCCGGGAAATCGTAAATAAACTCGTCGTTTAGATTTAATTAAGATATTTAAGGTGGATACATAGGTATGCATTTAGACATGAATTTATGTATACAAAAATTATGTTTTAATTAAACAGAATGCAGGTGGCCTGTGCAATGTGTTTATACATTTCATTATCACAAAATATGTTGGTTTACAGAGCTGTATGAAATGTCACAGAAAATATCAATAACACCTTAATTATAACGGTAAGGGATTATGGCATTTAAAATATCTGTTAATATCATATAATACATTTATTACAAAATGCAGAATAGTACCTCACCAGTACCTTATTAAATCACTACTGATGCATCGGTTTACATCATAACATGTCATCAAAACTTACACTTGATTGCATCGTTATCATCATTACTATCATCATTATTAACTTTATTATCATAGCAATTTTATGGACTTGTTTTATGAGTCATTTAATTGTATTTTAAAAGTATGACGTAATCAGACCTTAATTATGATGACAATGCTAGGACAATTCTCATTTGATGGTTGTTTTCTGGCCAATCATCACAAACTAACCAGGTCTTATTACAGATGATGGCCGGTAAGAGAAATGTATGGGAAGTAGAGTCTAATATTCTCATTGGCAGAATTGCTACTAACACAAAACAAATGTTTACTTATGTTGTCGTTATTCGTAATTTTATTTAGATATGGATTATATCATAACATCAATAGTACATTATTAGTTAATAGAGATTATGTATGTTTATTTTGGAATCAAAATGTGATTCTAAATTTGATTTACATCTACAAGTTAGCCTGACTGGAATTCAAATACAAATGCACAAACTTTGGAAGATGTCCACTTGACAATGTTTCATGCCAAATGTCTAAGTTTAAGCCTAAATAGTTCAAGCGAAGAACTTTTTAAAGTTTTTACTATATACATGTATATAACAGGAAATCAATGACTCGCCGGGTGGGGACCAATTTAGACACTTGGGTCAAATTTAAACTTGGAAAGGATCTACTTAACAATGTTTCATGCCAAATATCTAAACTTTAGCTCTTGTGGTTTTAAAGAAGATTTTTGTAAGTTTCTACTACAATATTTATTATGATATAAGGAATGTCAATGGCCTCAAGAGCAGGGCAAACTAAGACCCAAGGACTGTAATTTGAACAAACTTGGTCTACTATACAATGTTTTATGCCAAATATCTAAGTATTTGTCTTCATGGCTATAGAGAAGCAGAATTGTTTGAGTTTATACTTTTTAAATGTATATATAAGAAACATCCATGAGCCACATGGGTGAGGCTAAATTAGACACTGAGATTATACTTTCATGCCAAATATCTATGCGCCTTAATGGTTGTAAAGAAGAAAGTTTTTTACTATATTTATATAAGCAAAATTCATAACTGTCCCGGGCGTTAATTTCAACAAACTTGGTAACACTTATATTACTTGTGTAGAAGTTCACAAGGCAATGTTTTATGCCAAATATCCAAGCTCTAGACAGGCATTGTAAACTTGAATGTATTTCCCTATGAAAGTTTATATAAATTTAGTTAGCTCTTGGACGGGGCCAATTTTGACCCCAGTGCCATGATTTGAACACACTTGGTAGAGGTCAACTAGAACATGATACGTGCCAAATATCTTAGCATAGATAGTTTAGAGAAGATTTTTTACTGAATACATTTAAGGAAAACACATGACCACTGGGGTGGGCCAATTTTGACGCAAGCGCTATAATTTGAAAAATTGTTGTACAATTTTACTAGATAATGCTACACACAGAAAATCTAAGCTCTAGGCCTTGCACTTTCAGAGAAGAAGATTTTTAAAGATTTAATTTTAAGAATCTATTTTAGCCCTTCTGACCAAGATGTTTCATAGGAACAGAACCATTTGAACATTTTTATAGAGTATCATGCCAGGAAAAATGTCATCAATACGATCCAGCGTTTTCAGAGGAGAAGTCGTTTGAAATAAATAAACTTGACGATGGATGCACTGGCGGTTGATGGATAAATTGTTAGATTGAAATTTAAAAAGTCCGAGGAAAGTTGGTATCAATAAATTCGCAAGAGGGGCATGCCAATGCAAGATGTATAAAATGACAGTTGTATCTCACATGACATTGAAACAGTTTTTTCTCATGGTAAGATGAATTTTGTAATCATTTGAACAAACATAAATCTGTTGAAACTCTTGATAATGAAAAATATCAAGTATCTACAGGAAATGGATATGCCCATGAACTTGATAATTGCATAACCATAAATGAAACGTTTACTTATTTAAAAAGAAAGCTAAGTTAAACAAAAGCTTTAGGTATTGATCTTATTCCTGTGGGTTTTGAACAAATGACTGGCACATTGATGTTGCACATTAATAATATTAGTGTTTGTTTTTGAAAATTGGAAAGTGCCCTAAACCTGACCGAAATATATTAATGATCCTGTTCAAAAATTAGGAGAAAACGTCGGGCATTGTCATGTAAAGGTATGCTTTTTGTTTTTACAATGTATAAAGCATCATTCGTAATGCCCGCATAGCACGTTAGTCTTGAAGACTGAATACCACTTAAGCCGATGCTTGAGAGCGAGATTTTGCTTTTTACATGCTCTCTTATGAACAGACTCAATCTAAACAGAGTCTGCAGTTTTCATGTAATATTGTAACAGTTGTTTTTATAGATTCAGAGATATCACCAATTTTCAAGATTCTTTTACTTTTAATCTCCTCATTGCAAAGTTTTGAAATTCAACAGGGTTATATTTAAAAAGCTATACAAACTGTATAATGCAAGTTTGGTACCATATGGACCTTTTTTGAGCTACCAAATTTAAAAGATGTGATTATAGTATTCACAACAGAGCTATGAGGTTTAAACTAGGCACGAAAATACACATGCCAAATGTTGTTGTGTATTGTGAAACATGTAAGGATTATTGAATTGTTGATGAGCAATGGAAAGCAGTGGGTAACAACTGACATACCACACTTTGTCTTAGAGAAAGTAGATCACATGTATAAATAAGAAAAGTTCTAAATGTGATAAAAGCAATATGTTGAAAATTGTTCATGTTCAAATGTGTGCTACATTGTTTTGTACATCTCGTTCGTATTGGAACTTAACAAACACTTAATGCATATAATGGTCATACTGACCTCCTTTGCACTATTGTACAATAAAAGTAGCAAAAAGATCAAGGTCTTGAACTATTCAGATCATCACTTTTAATACTTATTGCTGTTTAAGTTTATGATTTGTGACAAACCCGGGTCCGTACCCTCAGTGGCTTTCAGGGCGGATGGGTCTCCATTAGTATTCTTACCTACCCAAGGACTGCGAGGCATGTTTTTCATATAAAACAAATTAAATTTCCATTTATAAGATTATTCAATATTTTTGTAGAATATTATATATCAGGAATATTTGCACGGGCTTCATGAGCCTAAAACATAATATTTGACGTGTTTGGTGTACTCTTTATTCATATTGGAAGGCAAACATTTGTGCATATATTCCGTTAACATGCATATTATGAGAGGGTATAGTTGTCAACATAACAACCAACGATTGGTTCTCTACAATGACCATTACAAGCATTTTACATGTCGCCTACAACTTCATTTTCCTGACAAGTCACCTCTGGTTAAATACTGTTGTGGTGTCGCACTTACCCGTTTTGACACTGGTAGATGTGAACAATCAACAGTCAATGAAAGGGTATGTGCATGTCCATTTTGTAGGAATGGTATTGAACAAAATTACATGTAATAATACAATGTTCTATATATTCAAACATAAGGAAACCATTGTAAACTCATTATACATCTGAATTGTTTTCCATAATGCCTAAACATCAGACGTTTATGCGCTATCTATTTGACCACAAGGACACACACATGTTAAGATTGCTTGCAAAAATCTTGCTGTTATATACTTAAATGTGAAAATAACATATTGTATAGCAAGAAAACTGATTGATATGTAACATACCACTATTGTGTGATTTTACATTAATTAAGTCAAGTACTAAATGTGCATGATTTCTATATTTTTTATCAGGAGAAATGTGGCGGCTAATTAACCCATTTTGATCAATAACTGACCTATCAAAATCAATATAAAAAAAGAAAACAAAGAACAAATATATATATAGAAATATTATGATTTAATATTATACAAAAATCTAATACAAGGCAATCGTAATTTGCATAAAATGTGCAATGAAAACATGTTTTGTCAGGTGTTTTGTAGGCGAACAATGACAAGGAGGGTCTTATCACACAAAAAAACTATGAAATGTGTTTTGGTCCAATCATACACATGTTTACGCTATAATGTAAGGCAACAAATGCATAAATGCATAGTTTAAGAATGAAAGATAATGTCCTTTTTAATTAAAATGTTAATCATACATGTATTTAAAAATGTGCCATTATTGCATTAAAATAATTTGTATCTAATCCAATGCTTTTTTCTCCCCTTCAATTTTTTCTGTTTTATATCGTCACATTTTTAATTAAAAACGCTTTGTTAAAATTTTTAGAATTCATGTTTAAATCTAACTTTGTATTTTATTATTTAGATAGGAATGTATCTTAAAGTAATTCTTACACATATGTTTGACACTATAAACTTAATATTGTAAGGAAATGCTTCATGAAATTTTTACTTTTAATGAAAGGTCATTTTAGTCAAAACATGTTTCAGATTCATATCTTTTCACATTAAACTTCCATTTGTTTTAGCCCCTGTTAAATGCAGCACTTGTTTGTTTCTCAACAAGGTATAAGATACAAAAAGTTTGAAATACATGTACATGTACAATATATTATAGATACGCTCCTCGTTTTAATGTCTGCTTAAAACTTAGCACCACATCTGTCACATTTCTTTTCCTTCATCATTAAACAACACAGTATTCCTAGAGGGAAGAATAGAATGGCCAGGATTATTCCTATCATTGTGAAATCCTCAGATATGTGTCCGACCTGAAAATGTATGTAGCTTATAGAATATATTATCAAAGTTGCTATTCGTAAAGATACACGGCATAATTATGATTGATTTACGTATGTAAAAATCTGTTTTCTATCAAATATGTTGTTTCTTATTGCTTTAAAAATAAAGTCACATTTGTCTACTTCTTTCAAATCTATGTAACATACAAGTGGTTACTTTAACATGTCATGTCAAATGACATATCGAATATGTACTTATCTTTGGGTATAAAAATAAATGAAATTTCATTGATCAAATCAGCTTTAGTTATCTTATCTTATTTCATATAGCTAGATAAGATAGTATATGAGCCGTGCCACGACAAAACCAACATAGTGCGTTTGCGACCAGCATGGATCCCGACGAGCCTGCGCATCCTGATCAGGATCCATGCTGTTCGCTATCAGTTTCTCTACTTGCAATAGAGTTGGTAAGCGAACAGCATGGATCCTGATCAGACTGCGCGGATGCGCAGGCTGGTCTGGATCCATGCTGGTCGCAAACGCACAATGTTGGTTTTGTCATGGCGCGGCTCATATGTCTTACACCACATGTTGGACATCCTCCTACAGCTACTGTTCCTGGTTGTACAGTTACTACCTGTGGTGGTTGCTGGGCCGACATTCTCAATGTTTACCTGTCTGTAAATATAAATTACTTTACTATAGTTATTACATCAGTTTGATAGTTTACCTGGAAGAATGTGAAAATAAATCATACTTCATATAAAACCTAGCAATTCTATATAATATTTCAACGGTGGAACTATATATTCATGAATGGGTAAGCACTAAGATGTATGACATTATATAATTAAACAGGCACGTTTAATACCCGCGTTTATTTTATGCTTTTCGGTGGATTACTGATTTATCTGTGAAAATTATATTTGATAATTTCACAGTGAAAATTATCAAAATATAATTTCACACTTTTCAATGACGAAACTACTTTCTTAAGATTTTCCCCCATGTGGTACCTCAATTTTATTTTTGCTGACAATTCTGACAATGTCAGGCTGTTCAGAGAAAAGCAAAGCTGAAATTGATAAATAACTTAAATGTCAAAAGTAATAAAAAGAAGAAAACTTACTTCTATTTATTCAAATTAACAATCACCAAATATCGTCTCTTATTTTTTTGTTTGAAAAAAACATTCCTTCCACATGCAAAACTGCTCTTGATGACATTTGGGCATATTTAAGTATCCTACGAGCAATAACTGCCGTATGCTTTCTGAAAACTTGAAAATCAATGACAGCCATCAACCCGAAGAATTACTAAACAACCCAGCGTTCGTTAGGCAGCCTTTCACTTCCATTTTCCTACCAGCTTTTTTAATGTTTACACTTCTGTCAACACTTATTTTTTGTCTGTTACAATCCTCAAATAAGTTTTCTTTCTTTTAAAAAGGTGTATGATGATATCCCCCTGAATCAAACACAATTATTTTCCTCCCGTGAAAAACACAACTTTTAAAAATTGCGGCCGTTTACATTTAACAAAGCCGGGTCTAATATAAATTTGCAGTAAGTAACAGAAATATGGATGGATGGTTGAACTTTTTCTCCTACATGAACTATTTCAGTTTTACGGTATATTCCGGAAATGCTTCATAACAAATATTTCGTGGATTAAAATTCCATTAACTTCTTTCATAAGTTACATTATTCTCATTGTTTCGCTGTCAAGTTGAGTTCAATAAGTAATAGTTTCTAAAGATATGCAATTATATTGGTGATTTTCAGATACATGTAATTGTTAATGAAAAATGTTTATGATGCAATACAAAAACTGCCCCACTCGTTTTAAGAATTGAGTTAGCGATATATTCTGAACAATATTTGAGCCGCGTCATGATAAAACCAACATAATGGGTTAATGCGACCAGCATGGATCCAGACCAGCCTGAGCATCCGCGAGGTCTGATCAGGATCTATGCTAGCAGTTTCTCTACTTGTTATAGAGTTTGTAAGCGAACAGCGCGGATGCACAGGCTGGTCTGGATCTATGCTGGTCGCAAACGCACTATGTTGGTTTTGTCGTGACGCGGCTCAATTATAAAAAATACTCCGTTGGTCACGTTTATTTTTTCATGGTAAAATATAAAATTGACAGCAATTATGGTAAAAATGACAAGTTATTTTTATTTTTACCTGTTCATTGACCATTTACACTCGGATGGACATAATCCACTTTAAAATTTGACGATCCATCATAAAATATTTTTGATTCATCATAAAAGATTTTGAGGGCAAATAATATTTGTTACTAAAAAGAAATTTGTTATGATTAAACAATCAAATGCAATACATGTATATCGGCTCATTGTAAGTCTGATGCTTTATAAAAATAAGTTTACATTATAAGGATATCTGCTAATTTTACAAACTGGAAGTTGAAACTTTTTATGAGAATACATCGCATACCACTGATAATTACCATATGTACGGATTGGTTAATAGCAGTAAATTGTCATAATCCTACTCATGTCTCATAATGTAAACAAAGTTTATTGATTTCGGTTCACTAAAATGTTTCTTTATCTTTTTTTTTCCATCGGATGAATTACTTCAGACAGCAGTATTTATTTGCTTTTTCATTTATGCATTGCTATCCAAATATGATAAATATCGTGCAGTCTTTAATTTCCGTCATTCAGTGCACTTAAAACTTAATTCATCACCATGGTTTGTGTAAGTTAGACTCCATCTAAATCAAACGACTGCTGATAAGAAGAATAATGGCTGTATTCTTTCATAAAAATTCACTCTTGTTATTGAACAACATGGATACAAATAAGTTTTTTTAACACTTCCGTCTTATTGTGTGTAAAGATTTTGTTTTATGGACTGGCACAGACAGTATCTCTTTGATGTATTAACTATTTTAATTGTTCCTCTTTATCACTTTTCTGTAAGACATTGTCACTGAAAATAATTTTGCCACAATGCTTGTAATCAGATTTCTTATACAATGTTTCTGTAAAGATAAGTAAGAATTTTAATTACTAACATTAGTGATTTATTTCATTTTGAACTTGAAACTTTCATTTTAGGTTTGAAAAGCAATATTTAAATGTTAATACTTTATAACTTTATGGAATAAGACAAGAAATCATTGACACTCCTGGGGCAGGGCCAGTTTTGACCCCAGGGCTTTTATTTGAACAATCTTTGTAGACACTTACTAGAAGACGTTTCATGCTTAATATCTAAACTCTAGCTATTCGGTTTTTTTTTTCGAAGAAGATTTTTAAGTTTTTGCTATACACATTTAAGGAAAATCATTGTCCCCCGGGGATGGGCCAATTTTGACCACAGGGCTCTTATTTGGACAAACTTGGTAGACATCTATTAGAACATGTTTCATGCTAAATATCTTAGCTCTAGCTCTTTGGGTTCTTTAAAAGAAGATGATTTTTAAGTGTTTACTATATTCATATAGGCAAAATCAATGACCCTATGGGGCGGTGCCAATTTTGACCCTAGGGCTCTTATTTGAACAAACTTGATAGACATCCATTAGAACATGTTTCATGCTAAATCTCTTAGCTCAAGCACGTTGGGTTCTTTAAAAGAAGATTTTTAAGTTTTTACTATATGCATATAGGAAAAATCAATGACCCCCTGGGGCGGGGCCAATTTTAACCCCAGGGCTTTTATTTGAACAATCTTGGTAGACACCCATTAGAAGATGTTTCATGCTAAATATCTTAGCTATAGCTCTTTGGGTTCTTTAAAAGAAGTTTTAACTATATACATATAGGGAAAATCAATGACCCCCTGGGGCGGGGCCAATTTTGACCCCAGGGCTTTTATTTGAACAAACTTGGTAGGTACCCACTAGAAGATGTTTCATGCCAAATATCTAAGCTCTAGCTCTTTGGGTTTCTTAAAAGAAGATATTTAAAGTTTTTTTTTTCTTTTGGTTGCCATGGCAACCAGAGTTCTGCATGGAATTAAATTCTTTGAACAATTTTCAAAGGTGACCGCCAAAGGAACATTCCTGTGAAGTTTGGATGAAATTGGCATAGTGGTTTATGAGGAGATGTCATTTAAAGTAAAAGTTTAAGGACGACGGACGGACGACGGACGAACGCAGGACGAAAAGCGATCACAAAAGCTCACCCTGTCACAAAGTGACAGGTGAGCTAAAAAAGAGATAGAATAAAGATTTTAGTATTCTTTAGTTAAAAGCAATATTCTCATGAAAATGTTGGGGAAATGGTGATGTAGGTAATGTAAGAAATGAATTTTTCTTATAATTTATAGATTTTATCCACCTTCTCTTTGTAAAGTGTTTAATTTCGTGAGTATAAATTGTATTTCTTCCACAAAAGGTATTCCTTTTTTTATTTTTCCATGGAAACGCTGCCAATTTAAATAGTTAAAAAGGCATTACTTTAATTAGTGTTAAAATGGACAAAAACTATTAACTATTAGTTTGTTGCTGTTCGACTGTCAGTTTGCTAAAGATAAAAGCACTGCATTGTTTGCTCCTCATTCAAATACAAAACGTGTGAAATAATAGATTACGAGGATAATAATACATTATGCATTTATTGATTCTCGTAAAGCTTTCCAGGGGAGGTATATGGTTAACTTTAATAAAACAAGGAATGTCTCCTGGGTTTAAACATTTGTAACATGTATGAAAATGTTTTTTTGTTGTTGTTTTTTTTTTGTTTTTTTTTTTTGCTTTAATGTGCAACTCTATCTTGTTGTTTATAAAATATATTTCTGGGGAAAAAAATAAAATTGTCTGATGCTAATGACAATGCCTATTCTTAATTTTAGTGTCCAGCTTTATTTGTCATCCAATGAAAACGCTGTATTTCTTAAAAATTGTGTACAAGAACAAAAGTCGATACTATATTGAATTCCGTTCATAGTCGCCTTCTATTTTTCATAGTGGGAATCTCTTTTAGAACCGCGGTATGAGGGAAAAAATAAAGCTTGACAATAATTGTTATATTCTTTGGGCGCTGTTCTACAGAAATTAAACACATTCCCCCGGGTGTCGTACCCGTTTCCCGTCGAAGTTTCAAATTTCTTTTAAGAACTAAAACCCCATGGATTGAAAAAATGGGGTTTCCCATAATCAGGCATAAAATTGAGCATTAAAGCGAGTAAAAAAAAAAGGTTTTATATGGACCCATTTATTTAGCTTTAAAAGGGCAGCAAAAATAAGGGTTTTTTAACCTGGGAAATTTAAATTTAAATAAGGAAAGAAAAAAATTTTAAAAATTTTATAAATCGATATTGTTTTTATAGAAAGGGATTTTTTTATTTAAAAAAGTTTTTCCAAAACCACTTTTTTTTTAAACCCCTTTAAAACTTTGTAAGATTTTAAACCACAATGTTTTGAATCATCATTTAAACAGCAAAAAACAAATCAACAGGGGCCCCCCAAAACTTTTTTAAAATTTTGAAAAAAAAAGTTTAAAAAGTCAATAGAAAAAAAACCCTTTTTTTTAATTACCAAACCCCCCGCCCCGAGGTGGGTTTTGTTTTAAGTGGAACAAAATTTAATTTTCAGCAAAAAAAATTTGGGGGAAAATTTTTAAAAACCCGCTTTTTCCCGTCAAAGTTTAAAAACAGATCTAAATAAAATTAAAAATTTTAAAAACACAGGGGAAG